AGTACCTGGCCTTGTAACAGTGTTTCTGAAATACTCAACAGCTGAGCCAAGAAACACATTAAAATACCATTATAAAATGCCTCATTTTGAGTTATTATCATCATTCAGTTATGTACTTACAGCATGGGACAAAGTTCAAGTACACATTTCCCACCAGCCTAATGCTGTTCTGTACTTTCTCACCAAGATACTGGTACTGTGCTGTAGTTCTTCTCAATTCAAAGTAAAAGATAAGTAAATTAGATCAATCCTAGATTGACACTTTTGGCTTCTGCAAGCTTTTGGCTCAAAGACATTTTTAAATGTGTGGTTTTGCCTTCCACATGCACCTTCTCATCAGTGCCATCTTTGCAGTCCTGATCTCCGTCACAGATCCACTCCCGCACCAGACACTCCTTGCTCACAGGGCAGCGGTGTTTGGTGGTGCAGACCAGTGCATTGGCGCAGCCCTGTTCATCTGAGCGGTCCCAGCAGTCTGGGTGACCATCACAGCGCATTGTGGCAGACACACACTGGCCACTGGTGCACTTCATTTCAGTGGCACTGCAGCTCTCTTCAGCTACAGGAAGTAGGGGACGAAAACCATCACACAAGCCACATGTAAAAGCAGAGCCTGTTAATTAATCCAATCAGTAAAAATTAAATTCCAAGTTCAATCACAACCTACCACAGTTGGCCTCGTCGCTGCCATCTAAGCAGTCCTTCTCTCCGTCACAGAGGAAGCTGTTGGGAATGCAGCGGCTCTTGTCATCACAGTGGTGAGCACAGCCGTCCGTGTGTGTGGTACAGTCCAGCTCATCTGAGCGGTCCTGACACTGAGGCACACCATCACACACCTGGCTCTGCTCAATGCACTTCTTTCCATGGGCACACTGGAACTGGTCTGCAGATGACACATGGCATGGATGCAATGTTGGTAGTTGATCAATTGGTGTGATGCCTTCCCAATGAGATTTTCCTCTGAACAGTACACTGTATTAAACCTATTATGGTGCCATTAGTGCACACGACTCATTTTCATTTGTACAGTCACACTTTGTGCTGACAATCAAAAGTATCAGATCCACGTGCAGCTACTTCCTTCAGGTCCTCATGTAATGTCAGCCAAATTGCTGGCTTTCTGTGCCATTGAAACAATATCCTGTATATTGAATGCATCTGGAAGAAAAGCATTTTATACTGATGTGCTACAACATCTTTCTACCATCCTGTCTATCAACCAAGAATTTTTACCAAGAATTATGTAAACCAGGCTTTTGATTAGAGTAAACAGGTTGGAACACATCACCTCAGTTTTGACCTCTTCACACTGGCTCGATTTTAAGGTTTTATTCATTACATACTAGGCACTTAAAGGCCTGACTCTTCAGTATATTGCAAATCTTTCATCCCCCCCTACAACCCTGCTCACACTTTGAGAGACCCTGACAGGGGCCTTTGACTGTTCCAGATTCTCAACTGACGACTAAGGGGGACAGAGCTTTTGACAGAGTCTGGAACACCCTAACCAAGGAACTACAGCAGGCTGAGTCAGTAGCTTACTTTAAATCAAAGCTTTAAACTTAGTTCTATTGTGCTACCTTCCCTGATTTTACCCATTACTAGTCTTTATTGTATCAGGTGACTCTTAAATTTCTGTTACACGTTTATATTCTTTTATGACCATTTTATTTTGATCCATTTTTTTAAAATTTAGTTTTCAGAAGTGCTATATTAATAAAAAATAAACAAATCCTGAATCTGCCCACTTAATTGAATCCTCTACCAATACTTACGTGATTCCTCCTTGGTCCATCCACTAAGTTTCAAGAAAATTGGTTGAGCAGTTTTTGCAAATTTCTGCTAAGCAACAAACTATTAGAGTTTGTCGCTTGTGCAATAAAAGCACAACCTCCTTGGTGGAGGTAATAAATGCTTCCCACTAGAGGGCAGTAACGTCATTCTTAACCCATGTACACTTGTTCAAACCCACAGTCCAACCACCAAATTACTTGTTTCACATGTTGTTGCACATTCTTCCTCATCTGAGCCGTCGCTGCAGTCTGCCTCTCCATCACAGACATGGTTGTGCAGGACACACTCAGCTTTGTTCTTGCAGGGTTTGGCACTCAAAGAACACTTGAGAATAGATGTATCCACAGGTAAAAGAGCCTCAGAGGTCATACTGGTACTTTCTTCCTTTTTATACACATCATCCACATGGTCCTCTGATTTAGAAAAAAAAAAAAAAAGATTAAGAAACATTGTGATTCAAGGCAGCAGTCTGCACAAGTCTTAAATATAGATACAATGATGTCAGATATATATATATTCATTTCAGCCTACCACAGTTTGCCTCGTCTGTGCCATCTAAACAGTCCCTCTCGCCATCACAGAGGAAGCTTGCAGGCAAGCAGCGGTTCTTGTTGTCACAGTGGTGAACACAGCCGTCCATATGCTTCATACACTGGATTTCATCAGAACGATCCTGACACTGAGGAACGCCATCGCAAACCTGCTCCTTTTCTATACACTTCTTCCCATGGGCACACTGAAACTGATCTGTTTGAATACAAACATTGGACACAAGACAAGCAATTTGGTTTTAAAAGGTCAATGTGCATTGAATTTAAAATCACTTCTATGACTAATAGCTACAGAAGTTATACAAGTGTACATAGACAACTGGTCTTGCATATATTTTGAAGATGTTTCACTTCCCATCCAAAAGGCTTCTTCAGAATTGAAGCCAAGTCCAGCTGCCCATGTGCTCTTATACAACCTCCTACCTGGATGACTGAGAACCTTCAGATATGCGTGTCTAATAGCATGCTACATAGACAAGTGAAACCTTGCAGTGACTTTATCATGATATACTCAGTTGCCAGTTTTTGGTTCATCCTGCTTAAAGTAAACAATCCTGCACAACCGAAAAATTCCTTCTTGTTGTTTATAAAATTTCAACAAATTTCTTGTCAAGTATTAGGCTACTTTTTAAATGATTTATTCACTGCACCTTTTTAGACACCTTACAATATAGGATAAATAAACACGAAGAATTAAAGTAAAACCAGGAGTTCACCATATGTGACCATTTAAGTAAAACAAAAAGGTAAACAGGTAAAGAGGAAAAGACACCTTACAGGACATGTGAGCACAAGAGTCAAGGTCAAAAAACGTATTTCTGAGGGATAGATGTTGGGTAGGCTAATCTATCAGATTAGTTTTGAGTGGTCCAATACAGTTCAGCTGTCAGAGATGAGGCAGGAGAGAGTTGTGGTGCGGAGCAGTTGAAGGTTCTGGCACCAATAATACTGAGTTTAAATGTAGGGACACAACTTAGGGCAGCCAAAGAAGAGCGCAGGGCATGGGAAGGGATGTAGGGTTAGAGGAGGTCCAACAAATGAGGGGGAGACAAGATTATAGAGTCCTTTAAAAGGTTAATTTTCTGATATATACTTTGTTGGACCAGAAGCTAATGAAGCTGGATGAAGAGTGGTGCGATGCGGTCTGTGGATTTGGTGCAGTTGATGACCCTGGTAGCAGAGTTTGGATGATTTGAAGTCACTTAGTCATTTACAGAATTGTCCTGTGTGATTAAAACTTTCCAGATAGGTGAAAACAGGCCTCAGAAAGTAACGGCTAGCAGTACTTCAGCTCACTGTGTATTTAGTGTGGATACAGTGTGGTACCTCTGTTGCATTCAGATGGACAGTCATCTTCTTCTGAACCATCCCTGCAGTCAGGCTCTCCATCACACACAGAGCTGTGGTGGATACACTCGGAGCCGTCCTTGCACAGTACGGAGCCCAGGTTGCACTTCAAATGACTGCTTCCAGCTGAAACAACTGTTTGGATCAGGTCAACAGAGCAGAAGGAGAAGAACAAATTAACTGTAATGCTTTTGAATAAATCACACAGCCCTTCATTCTGTGTCTGGAGTTAGAAACATCACATGAAGTAAACGAACACATGTAAAGTCTAAATCAGGCAGGTCTGTCGGTGTAAAAGCTATTTCGTGCCACGTGACTCACCTTGCAAGGAGATGGTGAACAACAATAAGAGAGCACCAAGAAACAGAAATCCAGCCATCAGCACAGAGGACACAGACCAGGCTAAGTGTGTCTGAGGGTGACAGGGCTGCATTTTATACTGGTGCCAGGTGAGGCCAATACAAACTGATGGAGCACCTGAGTGAGGGGAGGGGCTACTGCTTCCTGCCATGAACCAAGTCTATGGTATTAACCATCAACCAGACCACTGCTAGTTGTGTTTATCATTTGTAAATGGAAGTAAAGGCGTAAAAACTCCCACTCCTAAAAGAAGATAAAACCTGATCGATGTCTTTATGTTTATATTTTCTCTCAGTGAGTTGACAAAAATTTCAAAATACCTTTAGCCCCACACCGCTGAGTGACAGATATGAAGCCATGCTGTCAAATAAACAATGAGGATTGTCAAGGACACGGACCAGTGCTCTGAGGCCTTTTCACGATCCTCCAATCAGCTTTCACGTAGGCGGGATTAAGCCCCTGTAGTGAGCCATCGGTTTGTTGTGTTCTTCCGGTCTACCTAACCTAGCTAACTAGCTTCAGTAGCACTGGTAGCAACTTGCGAGCAGCATACAAGCCTTGTCAAAACTAGTTGCAGCACAACACTGTCCTGGCGTTTGCTTTTGTCAACGAGGCGTCTGAAGGGCTGTGCGTCCACTCTTCTCTGAAAGCGGAGCGTTGGACTGTAAAACTGGGGTAACTACTGAAATGCTTTGAGCTGCAAACTCGACTTTGAAGCATGTTGATTTGTGGGAGAGATGTTGCGTTAGCACCGTTAGCCAGCGGGAGCCAGGGCTCAGTTTGGAAGAGTTCGTCCAAGATGCTAACTCCTTCTGGTGCCATTATTTTAGCAAAAGTCCCCAACAGACATCAGCTCCGTTCACATGACACATAAAGACGTTTAGATCCACAAAGTGAGGTTTGGTGTGGTGAGATTAATCGTAGCCTAAATGTCTGTGACGTCCCGACGTTCGGTAGCGAAGTAGCGCGACTTGACTGTTGCGCACAGGAGGTTTTTTCGTGGATCACAACAAAAGGATTTTTGATAACAAGCTGGCAGCTAGCTTGTCAAGCTAACGCTAGCTGACCTAGCCGTACGAGGACTTCTCCACAAACTCCCTCTCATCTACTCACATAGGTTCACTGAAGTATTTCGCTTTTCGTGTTTAGTTAAGACTATTTTAGCATTCTGCAGTGAAGCACTCAGCAAGCTAACGCTAGCGAACTTATTGTTGTGATTTGTGTCAAGCAGGCCCCCCCACCAGGTAGCTAGCTACCGGCCTTTCCCAAGCCAGTCGGTGTTAGCTCGGGGGGGGCTGTCACAAAATACTACACGCTCTATTTGCATTTGTTTGATAGCGTTCCCTTTGCTAGTTATTATCACAGTCGGTAGCTGGTCGTGGTTGCCGGTGTGTTCTGGGTGCGACGGTGTGAGGCACACCCCATGTGTTAACTTTACAAGTTTGCAAGTTCGCTAGCTTAGATACCGAGCAGTGTGTGCGGCAAGCTAACGTCAAGTGATCGTTTCTGCTTTTCAACTTGTTCAACAACAAGAGGCACTAATGTCCTCTATGTGTTATCACTTACAAAACTGCTATACCTTTTATTTCAGTCCCTGTCGGAAGTTGCATTGACTAATACGTTCTTCTCACTGTGTTGATCAGCTAGATGTCTTCTTCTGTGCCATGTTATGTTTTTAATGATTTGAATTGTGTGTGACTTTCTCCTAAGGTGTCCATCCCTTTTGAGGAAGCCCTGCTAGCATCCACCCACTGGTCTCTAGAGGGGGCCCCATCTGAGCAAGGGTCCAAGCTGTAGCTCCAGGTCTCCTCCGTCTGTGTTTGTCCGAGCTTGCGTTGAGTCCTCTGGAGACTCTCAGCTTGTCCAGCTAAGATGTCCTCCATCCTGCCATTCACCCCTCCCGTGGTGAAGAGGCTGCTGGGCTGGAAGAAGTCAACCAGTGGCCAGGGCGGAGCGGGTGGTGGCGAGCAGAATGGGCAAGAGGAGAAATGGTGCGAGAAGGCTGTGAAGAGCTTAGTGAAGAAGTTAAAGAGGACGGGCCAGCTCGATGAGCTGGAGAAAGCTATCACAACACAGAACTGCAACACCAAGTGTGTCACCATCCCCAGGTATACTGCCCAGCACATAATTACTCTTCAATTTAGAGTTAAAAAAAAGCTACTGCTGTTAGACATGTGTGTCCTGCAAGTGTGGTTAGTTGAAACCCTTGCCTTATACAAAACCGTGGACTGTTAAGTGGTAATCTCTTAAAACTTAAAAACCCTTGTTCAGGTATGTGATTAGTAATGCAAAATAGTAGAAGATTTAAATGAGCTGAAAATCAATCAAATTACTGTTTGTTTACAATTGTACTTGCTGTTCGACCATTTCTGTTACTGTCATGGGTACATGGACATTAGAAGGGCGAAAGATGTTGTCTTTATCAGCCAGCCAGCCTTGACGGCCCAGACTCACGTTCAGTGGGAACACTGTGTTAACAGATTTCCTCACTGATGTACTGCCAAGTACCATGTCAGATGTTTGTATGTCTATAGATAGCAGGCTGGTTGTTATTGCCTGAGAATTTCTCTAGGTTGCAATGTTACTTTTGTAGAAATGTAGTGGCTGTCATGATGTGGACGGAATCACTTATTTGAGAGGACAGGACCAGTAGAGAGATGTGAGATGATGGGTTACCCCCTCAATAATGCCAGATTTGGGCATGTTTACGTTGGTACTTTTTGATTGGGATTGGGATACTACCCTGCTTGCCATTTTGGCGGTTACCCATTCATAATTTGGATACTCTAAACGCCTAGTTTCCCTCAGTAAGAATAGTTGTTGCTTTGTAGGATTTATAAGCTGCTATAGCGGATGGAAAACATATGGTTTCCTGCCCTGTCGTGAACCAGACAATTGCAATTTTGAATGGTAGTTTTGATCCCACCTAGGTAATTAATATGTTTTTTGTGTATTTGTAGCATTTAACATGAAGAATTTGTCATTGTCCTGTTATTCAGAAGCAACTATTCCCATTCCATGTTTTTAACTTCTTATTTTTGTTCATTTTCTTGTGAATGTTTTGAGAGTGTCTGAAAATTTAGTTTTTTCCCCCAAGGTTGCATCCTCTGTTTTTTCCCCCCTCTCTTTTGTGCCATTGTGTGTCTTCATTGTTTATTTGAATGTCTCAGATAAGTTTCACTGCAGTGAAAAAGTTATTTTCAGTGTTTGATACAATGCCACACAGTTAAAGAATGCTCTTTGTCACATTCTTTGTGTGTGTTAAGCAGATTCCATTTTCAGTTTTTATTTTTTTAAATCTGTCAAAAAGGCTTCTATTATTTGAAGTTTCCATCTTTAATGTCCGCGGGTGAGAAATAATTTGATGTCTTTATTTTTTCCAATAAAAGAGGCCTTTCAATGTTCACATTACTCATACTGATATTCTGAATGATTCATGTCCCATGTTTATTATTTGTTTTTTGTGTTTCTTTTGTTGTTTTCTCTGTGCACAGCAATTGCTCTGAAATATGGGGACTGAGTACACCAAACACGATAGAACAGTGGGATACATCAGGCCTATACAGCTACCCTGACCAAACCAGGTGACTATCCTCAACTATTGTGTAGTGCTACATACAACTTGATGTGGGAGAGTTGTCTTTAAATGTTGAAGGTGACAGATATTTAGAACATCTTTGCTTCTCATTCTTGTCACTGTTCAATCCAATTCGTCTCCATTTCCCTCCCTTCCCTGGCAATATAATCAGACACCATCTCTTGTCTGCTGTTCAATCAGATCCCTGGATGGCCGCTTGCAGGTCTCCCACAGGAAGGGTCTTCCCCATGTTATCTATTGCCGCTTGTGGCGATGGCCAGACCTCCACAGCCATCATGAGCTGCGTGCCATTGAGGCCTGTGAGTATGCCTTCCACCTCAAGAAGGACGAGGTCTGCATCAACCCCTACCACTACCAGAGGGTGGAGACCCCAGGTGAGAAGACTGCCCAGTTGACTTTTGTTACCTAAAACATGCATCTGTTTGTGAGTCAGTGTCTGTTGCATGATTGTAGCACAGTTTCTGTCACTTCTAAGTGACAACTGAAAAGTTTAGCTAACTAGCAATGTTTAAACACATGTGCCTATGTAGCATTTTGTTTAACTTCTCAGTAACTTTACTTACTAAATGTCTTCTCAGTATTTATCTGATGGTTAGGGGGACAGTGTTGGCCCCAGAAGTGTGAAAAATCATCACATGTATAATGCACATGTGTCTATTTGATGAAACTTTGTCCTTCATTCTACTTTAGTGAATAAAAAAAAACATATTCCTTTTGTTGCTGTAAGTTAGATGTGAGAGTGACACGCATTCTCTTCTCAGTACGCTAACTTTGAAGTTACAGCAAGCAAGAGGTTATATTAGCTAAATAAATATATAATTATAATAAGTGCCTACCTCCACATTCATTTGGCATTCATTCAGTTTAGACTTGTGTGCTGCATATTTAGCCTTTACTGTATCAGGGTGGCGCCGCCTTGCCCCCTTGCCAGCATTGAGGCATATTATTCCACTGGTCAACAAGAGATTCTGCTCCCCTGCTCTTTTCTAATCATTCACACTTATGAAAACCTGCAGAATTCATATTTATGTTCCTAGATAAACAGGGCATCACTTCTTCTGCAACAATGAAGTTAAAAAAAAACAGCGCTGTGTGATAATCTGTGGGAATTACATTTCTGTGCGTCCATCTGTCCGCCCGTCTCTGTCTCTCACAAAAAATCATTACCACATGTATTTAGTTATTAATCAATGGTGTAGTGTTGTGTTTAGCAGATGAACTACATCCGCACGGTGCATGTGTTTAAATACGTGTCTCAAGCTCTAAAGCTAATTAACAAACACAAAGTAAATGTCTGATTAGTGTCTGTGTTTATTGTTAGAGTGTAAAGTGAGCACCATCAGCAGAGGAGTGGAGGGAGGACACTCAGACAGGAAATTCCAACACAATATAAGACAACCGGACCTTTAATGTGCCTCTTTCCTGATCCTGAAGCTGCGGTGGTTATAATTATGCAGCGGCGGTACATAAAAAACTGAACGTAGCAGAAAACATAAATCAATTCTGTTCTGCCGCTGCATCGTTCACGTCCGCATCATGGAGCATCTAAAAAAAACTATAATTTTCCCATCACTAAAACTAACAAGTCTGGCTCTGTCCAATTGTAACAAAATAAGCCTACCAGCCCTTTGAATGCAGCTTAGCGTATTGACATGTTGTATTCTGTTGATCCACATAAATAGTTAGTTTTTGGTTGTATGAGGGGCTTGCTTGCAGGACTGCTTCTTGTGGTCATCTTCAGGTTGCATGACAACCAGTGGGTAGAGAAGTCACTACTGACTGCTTAGAAATATGAAATTATTCACACAGTGTGTTGTTAAAAGGTTCAGAGGTGCTAGGATGTTTTAACCTTTACCTTTAACCTGGATCGAGCCAGACTAGCTGTTTCCAGTCTTAAAACTAAGACAGGTGGCTGTTACCTTAAGTCTTATACAGAATATAACAGTATTCTGTATTCATTTTTGCATATAAATTAGCAACACATTTGCACTCTCCAGAACATGCAACTATTTAGTTAAGAGTTTTAGCGATGTACAATGTTAAAATCTTGCTATTTATCAGTTAGTGATCATTATATTATTGCTGTTGCAAAGGTTTTGCCACAATAATGAAATCTGTTTAAAGTGCTTGATGCACTATTGGCATCACAATCATCCAAAATCCTCAGACAAACAATTTTTGAAAGCACATGACTGATAAGGCTCTCCTGTGATCCTTTACCCAACACTGTAGTGCTGCCTCCTGTTCTTGTGCCAAGACACCCAGAAATTCTGCCAGAGCTGCCACCTCTGGATGACTACACTCATTCCATACCAGAGAACACAAACTTTCCAGCAGGAATTGAACCTCCAAACAACTATATACCAGGTGAGTTAAACTCTGCACAGCACCTTAGTGACAATATTTGAACAATAACACAGAATGGTTACAGAGTGTGCTAACATAATGCAGACGCTACAGATTTTACAAGTACAGTTGAAAGAACAAGTATTATTGTAATTAATGCACTTTATGCATGTTTTCTTCCTCATACTGTTAGTGTATTATAGAACGATATACTCAAGATTTTCTAAATCCAATTTTCTATTTCAGTAATGCTTTTACTATTGACATCACTCCATAAAAGAAAATGTGATCTGTAAACATTTATTTCCTTAAATTAGACAGTCGTATTACATTTTGATAATGTGAGAGCTAAAAAAAAAAAAACTCCCTGCATCATTTTAACAGAGACGCCACCACCTGGTTACATCAGTGAGGATGGGGAGGCCAGCGATCAACAGATGAATCAAAGTATGGACACAGGTACCCTAGACTAGCGCCTCCTTCTATTCCTCTTGATTTTCCTTGTCGTCCTCAGCTTCTAACCAGGTCAAATAAATGTCTTTTTCAGGGGATACATGCTTTTTGTTTTGATTGTTTAAATAATCAATAGCATGACAGTTGACAGTATTTATAGAATGACCTTGTAATAAAGTAAAATCTTTCAGGTTTTATGTGATCTCCTCTGCTTCAACAAACATTTATTATGTATTACTTGTCTGAGGAATTTTGATAGACCTGGCTCTTACACATGATATATGCATGTTTTTCTAGTGAATTCCTCATGATCTGAAAGATAGTTCTCAATCCAAAATTCATGACAATACCAAATAGTTAAAGAATAGTGTCTGGAGAAGTTGCAGCCCTGAATTCCCTGTATTTTCCTGTAACCTATCAGTGCCAGTACCTTTGGAAACAGATGTGAGAAATTTGAAGGAAGGTGTATCCTTTGTCAGTAGTTGACAGAATACACTTTTACATGTATATACTCTCTTTCCAACACTTCTGTCTGGCTCCAAATTCTCTCCCTCAGAGTGTTAGCGTCTTCAATGTGCTGCTGATAACTATAATGACATTAGCAAGCTAGTACGCTTACTGTTTTATACATTGTTCTTTTTGTTCTTTGGACAGTCAAGTAAGTTCAAATTGTATTATCTTAACAACCGAAATGTAGGAAATGCAGAAAAGGCTTTAGTAACCGTAAACAGCATCTGTTTAACACAATATAGAAAAGAATTGTGATTAACAATATGGTGAGGCCAGTTTCGACACGTATTTGACGTGATCCATCTGTCGTTAATGTTAGAGTTTCCTGTGAATAAGTGTCCAAATCCTATTTTCTTTGTCAGGTTCTCCAGCCGAGTTGTCCCCCAGCACACTGTCTCCTGTCAATCACAGCATGGGTAAGATGCAAATTTGACTTAAACAATGCAGAACACACAAGCATACTGAATGTTGATTACATCACAGGTTTGAAGCTGGTTAATTAAGATTCCATATTCAGACATAAGAGGGTTCCGACCAGGCTCAAATGATTAAGACAGCTTTTCAAAGTTGACACAGTTTCTCGTCACTCAACAACTCTCAAAATTGAAGCAAATGGTGATCAGACACTTGGTGAAACTGCCAGACCGGCGAAGCCCACGATGAAGCCATTGTCATGTTTAATCGATACTGGGCATGTGCAACTCTCAACAGAGTTGAGAAGAGAAACAAGATGCCTCACTCATTAGCCATTTCCACCATCAGCTTCGGGGGAAAAAACTAAAAAAGAGTAATCAAATCTCTGTTGAGAGTTGCACTTCATGAGTGACAGCTGTTTGTTTTGCCTCATCTGATCAACTTTTATAGAGATCACCAATGAAACTAATTAGAGGGAATATCTGCCGATACCGATCGGTGGCCGATCAATCAGAGCAACCTTACTCAGACATGTACGCTGTCTTTGCACTAGCACGTCCGGTCAAAAAGATACATTTTACTGACGTGACCTTTTTCTGTTGTAGACTTACAGCCGGTGACTTACTCGGAGCCGGCCTTCTGGTGCTCTATAGCATACTACGAGCTGAACCAGCGTGTGGGCGAGACGTTCCACGCATCTCAGCCCTCGCTGACGGTGGATGGATTCACAGATCCATCGAACTCTGAGCGTTTCTGCCTGGGCCTGCTGTCTAATGTCAACAGGAACGCCACTGTAGAGATGACCCGAAGACACATAGGTACGGCACTGATTCATCTGTGTACAACATCTTAACTTCTTATAGTTTGTGTTTGCTTTCAAAATGTCAGTTCACACATGTTGATTAAGTCAGGTCTTATGTTTACTTAAATAAATTAACCAAAATGTTCTGTCTGTGTTTTCAGGAAGAGGAGTTAGACTCTACTACATTGGAGGGGAGGTATTTGCTGAGTGCTTGAGTGATAGCGCCATCTTTGTCCAGAGTCCAAACTGCAATCAGCGGTATGGCTGGCATCCAGCAACAGTGTGTAAAATTCCTCCAGGTAAGATGCTGAAAATGTCAGTTGTATTGCGATCAGAGAAATTAGCTTGGAATTGCAGTATAGCAACACAAATTTATAAAAACAGAAATAATAATGTGACTCTGAAACGTTGTAGTTTGAGCTGTGGTTTTTAGATTGGATTTAGTTGCAAAGGATTCCAATGAGGATCCACAATCGAAAAACATGCCAAACTCATCACAGCACCCATAGATGGTTTTTAAACTCACTACTGCAGTACAACATACTTATCCACTGCTAACCACTAACCAGTAGGTAAGTGGTTCATTCCCTGGCTCCTCCTGAAGTTGAACCACAAATGGCTGTGCTGATGGTGTACGAATGATGTGTGATTGAAAAACCACTGCGTATAGAAGTGCTGTATGAATGACTGCAACTTGTTAAGTGCTTTTAGTGGTTGAAGAGAAAGTGCTATATAAATATCAATTTACCATTTGCTAGTCTGTACTCTGTCATTTAGTCTAAGCTGTGATATCGTGTACTCAA